AAGCCGGGGACCGCGGGACGAGCTGTGGGAAGGGCCTGGGAGCTACCCCAGCACCCACAGACCCCCCCTAAACACCCCTAAACTCCCCCTAAATACCCCCAAACCCTCTTAACTATCCCACCCCCCCAAATACCCACACACTCTCCCCAAGTACACCCTATATACCCCCTAAATGCTCCTAAACCGTAACAGATCCCCGAAATCCCCTTGAGAGTCTCTCAAGACCATCCAAACACCCCCCCCCAGACCCTGTAGGTACCCTCAGAATACCCCAACCCTATCGGACACCCCTAAAATAATCCCCCCCTGACCCCCTTTGATCCCCTACAGGTACTCCCAGACTTCTGGAAAGATCCCAGACACCCCTCACCATGTCGGAGTCAGAAGAGAACGGAGAGGGTGAGTCCGGTGGTGTCTCAGAGGGGATAGCGGGGTCCTTGGGAAGAAGTGCGGGGTCCCCAATGAGATGGGGGGGTCCCCGAGGGTACGGGGAGGTCCCTGGTCTACGGGATGTGGTGTTCACAGCTGGTCCCTGTGTGTCCAGGGGGTCCTGGAGTTGGAGGGCTTTGCAGGGGGGAGGGTCCAGGAGGGCTTGGGGAGGTCCAGGAAAGTTTGGGGGGGCCCTTCCCCCCCCCCTTTGCCCCCCCCCCCCCCCAGGACCCCCCAAGGGGCTGCCATCTTTCGCTGAAGCCATGGGACAGCCCCTGGGGTGGCCGATAGGCGAAGCCAATGGGGGTCCGGCGGGCGGAGGGACCCCACCGGGTCAGCGTCACCGACGTCCCCCCCACACCAAGCACAAGGGTCAGGGCACCGGGGGGGTCCACCGTTCCCCCCGTGCCCTCTTCTGCCTCCGCCTCAACAACCCCATCCGCCGGGCAGCCATCAGCATCGTTGAGTGGAAGTGAGTGGGGTTTTTTTTGGGGACGGGGGGGGTCACAGGGAGACATGGCAGTGGGGACAGGGTGCACCATGAAACCATGGGGATGGGGGGCTGCGGGGATGGAGGGGTGTGGGTTTGGGGGGCACCCCCTCCACCTGCTGCCCACCCTCCTCCCACCCTTACCCCCAGGCCCTTCGACATCCTCATCCTCGCCACCATCTTCGCCAACTGCGTGGCCCTGGGGGTCTACATCCCCTTCCCCGAGGATGACTCCAACGCTGCCAACCACAACCTAGTGAGGACCCCTAATCCCCCCCCAACCCCCCAAAAATAAAGGGGTGCAACCCCCACTTTCACTGGGGCCAGTGTCCTCATCTGGTCGCAGTCAGGCGCTGGTTTAGCTCGTTAAGGGATAACACCACCGCTTAACGAAGCCGCTTTGGGTGCTGGACAGAATTGGGAATGTGGGGGTCTGCCCCGACAGCGGAGTTCCCCCCTCAGTGGGGATGGGGGGGGACAGGGAGGGTCTGTGGGGGGGATGCCCGGACACTTTTGGGGGGGGGGGTAGGTAGGTGTCTGTGGGGTGGCAGAGGGCTGCCCGGACGCCTGGGTCCCCTGAAGCGCGTGCCACACGTGTTCCCCTCGCACACGCGTGTGCCGTTGCCTTAAGCCGCTTACGCGGCGCCGGGGTGGGTGCTAATCCCGGCTTAGCCGTCCCGGACGCCTGGGTCCAGGGAGAAAGGGATGATGGGAAGGGTGGTGGGTTGAGGGGTGGGGGGTGTCCCCCAAATAATACTGTCCCTTGTCCCCCAAGAGAAGGTGGGGGGCCATCTTGGGGGGGTGGGGGTGTCCCCAAATGCCCTTGTTCCCTGGGATAAGGGGGTGCTGGGCCACCCCACCGAGCCCCTGAGAGGGAGTGTTATGGGGGTGGGACATCCCCGGATGCCTTGTGTCCCCCCAACTTCCCCCCCCACCCCCCCAGGAGCAAGTGGAGTACGTCTTCCTCATCATCTTCACTGTGGAGACCTTCCTGAAGATCATCGCTTACGGGCTGGTCCTCCACCCCAGCGCCTACATCCGCAATGGCTGGAACCTCCTCGACTTCGTCATCGTCATCGTGGGGTGAGGAATTGTCCCCAAGGGAGGGGAACAGGCAAGGGGGGGGCGGCATGTGCAAATAACCCCCCTCCCCAAAATCTCCCTCAGGCTTTTCAGCGTCATCTTGGAGCAGGTGTCCCACAAA